CTGATTCTCAGTTATACTAAGGTCCCAGAACACTACTTTTAAATCCCTTTGAACAGCCAGAATGATGTAAAAAGGTCCTGGATGAAAATATGACATAGACCCACTGTATTTATAGAAGCTGCTATATTAATGTTTTTACACGTTTTACTGTTTCCTATTACTGCATTTTTGAAGCTGCAACTTTCCAAATAAGAAAATTACCTGTCTGGCCTTTGCTCTGGGGGTGAGCTGAGAAAGTCAGAAACTGCTAATGAATTCATCCAACCTCCTTGAGGTCTCTTTGGCAGAAGAAGGAGAAAACCTGTACTTCAGTATGCCATACTTTTTTTCATTTTACCTTCATATATCCATGCCAGGGCAGTGTTAAAATGAAATTGCAAAGGAAGAGCAGCCTACACCACAGCATCATTAATGCCTACAAGAAGCCATAGAATATACTACCCTACCACCTTTAGCCAGTTCTTTGAGGGGGACCTTCACTTTCCTCATCCACAGCTCAAAGACCCTTTAATAATCCATATCTGAAGATAACTACTGTCCAAGATAAATCACCCATGCACACCTATAGAAACAGAGCTACCACTTTGGCAACTGAGCTCCAAAAAGACAGGCTGCCCCACCTAAGCCAAAGGTTAACTCTTCTAGCTAATAGGTCCCATATCCTTCTTCTCTGTTGCCTAGCTCCTGGAGAACACAATCATTCTCATGGTCTACCATGTCCTCTCCCGCTCTAACAAAATTCTCCCACTTGGCTGTGGCCTCCTCTTTCCCCGCCAGTAGCCAAAGAGATACTCATGAGAGTATCACAAGGTGGCTGTTGTACCTGGGACAGGCCCAGACCTCATCCAGCTTTGAGCTTCCACTGTTACTGTCCCTGCTGCTGTCCTCTGGTCTCAGATGGGCATTTGTAATTCTCATCTCTTCTAGCAGTGAAGCATGTGACCTGGCACACACCTGAGTGCGTAACCTTTGGGGGTGCTTCTCACAGGGGGCCAGATACCTGAAGTCATATTTCTGTAGGCTTACAGTCAACTACTCTAACCTTACAGGGGGCCTATTAAGCATCCCTACCTGATGCCCCCCAATAAAGTAAATCCAGATCTCAGCTGGACACACTCTTTCTCACCTGCAACACAAATGGCTGCATCCTGCTGCTCCTCCTAGTCTACTGCTCCATTTGCACTATAACCGTGTTCTGCTCACATGCAGGTGTGTACGAGTGAAACCCTATAAGCATGTTTTAAAATAATTATGGCTGCCCAAAAAATGTGTTACAACATTTTTTGGCATCTCTGGCATATTTAGTCCATTACCTATCTTTATGTGCATTATAGTAGCACTGAGAGGCCCCAGTTGTAATCAGCATCTCACAGTGGAAAGAACTGTAAACATGCAGATAAAGCAACAGCTCTTGTTGCACTGAGCCTACAGTTGGAATAAACACATCAGGAAAATACTATGACCCCTATTTACATATGGGGAGGTGAGTATCTTGCCTACAGTCACTCAGGGTTTGGTACAGTACAGCTAGAAATTGAACCAGATCTCCTGAGTCACAGTCCAGTACTGTAAGACCATCTGTTCTCTCCCAGCCTAAGTAATTCCTTCTATTGCCTATGATTCATGGTGGACAAAGCTGATGATGCTATTGTCTGGGCAGTCCCTGAGGTTCTAGGAAGATACTGTGGATTTTATTAGTATGCTGCATATTTTACATTTATAAAAAAGCATCCAGAGTACAGGGGGATTTAGGGTAAACTCAGAAATAAAGGAATGAAAATGCATAACACAGCACATTCAAATGTGCCATTCTGGCAAATGCTGGGCCATTCTGTCCTGTGGAAGACCTGTAGGAAGGGACAACGGTGGAGAGAAATGCATCATGATATGTAGGAGGTGCTCTAGGGCTACAGATTTGGGTATCCATGTCCCCTTCCAAGTTTGTGGATCTCTGGGATATCAAGGGAGTTGAAATCTCTTTCATGCTGAGCCTACAGCCATAATAGATGGGGTCACTGAAGCCACCCTATCATTGGATGGGTCCCAGCATGGCTGCTCAGTGTGGAAGAGAGTTGTGTTATCTCCTAAGGGAAGCAGAGAGTCTCATTTCTCTTATGCTAACCCCTCCTGTTCCCTGAAATCCACTGAATCCTTTGCAGATGAACAAGCCATAAAGGGGCTTCTGTGAGGGGGTGGAGGCGCTCTATATTATAAGTGGGTGGCATTCGCCTCATTCTGCTCATCAACATGCTATTAACCTTCTTTGTGTGCCATCTCCAGGAGGTGACCTGAGCTGTGGATAAAACATGTTATTTATTTTCTGCCCATATGGGGACAAACATGCCTGAGCCATGACCTCATTTTGCAATGATGCATAAACATGCTGGGGGTTTATCTGCAGCTGGTGTACATGTGTATAGTGCCATTGATTTTACTAAAGCTGTGTCTGTTTATACCAGCTGACTATCAGGTCTGGTGATTCTGGTAGTGTTAATAAATCCTAAAGGAACGTAGCAATTGCCATTCTGAGTCAGACCCACAGTCCATCAAGCCCAGGATCCTCTCTCCAACAGATATGGGATCACTTGCCCTCCAGAAAGGTCTCATTGTGATCTCTAATAGTTAGAGACTGGTTTGTGCCTTAAAGTGAGACATTATAAAGTCTGCGTGCATGTGTATGATATATGTGTCTCTGGAGCTGATTGTCTCCTGACTCTGCTCCACATTTAGCTAGTGGCTCTCTGAGGGAGAGTTCTGAAGGTGCCATTTCCATTCCTAAGTCAAAATGAAATTCACTTCAGAGTCTTGAAAATCCCCTGGCAAAAGAAGAAATATTTAAAAAAATCCCCTATTTTTTAAGTTCATGTGTCATTTTGCCTTCAGTCAAAATAAAAATCACACAGAAATGCAGGGCTGAGAAAGTGTTCTTCATGAAACAGACAAAGAAAGAGTCCTTCCCACTTTCTCACCGCTCCCGCGCCTCCTCCCATTTTACAGATGAGAAAACTGAGGCATTTGTTCACCCAGTTTAACTGAAGTCACCCAGCAATGAGATGCAGAGCTAGGAAAAAAAGTCACTTCCCTCACCATCCCTCTCCCTTTCTCTTCTGCCATCTTCTAATCATTCCTTTTTGTTTCAGCCGCCCTGAAATCTACCCTCCGCCTCCCCATATAGATGTTCTAGGCAGACAACAGGGAGAAGGCAGCAGAGGTGGACTTAAATTATGGTTACTAGTAGTTTAGCCAAAGAAGGGACCTCCGATTATAATATAAGCAGAGAATTACAAATTAAAATAACAGGGCATGTGATTTCCGAAACTGGGAGCTGTGATGTCCAGAGCCTTGGTCTGGAAATAGAGACTCCAGAAACAGAGTCCAGAGAGTAGATTGTCAAAGGAGCTCAGCTTTCATGCAGGCACCTAAATACAGTTGCCCAGCCTTTAGTGCTGGCTGTCTAAATAGGAGCTGTCAGGTACCAAGCTCTTTGGAAAGTCCAGTCCTCGGCTTTGCCATGAGCTCTGAGCCAACAGACCCACACGGAGTGCAGGACCGGGGCCCTAGCATGTGGATTTTTTTTTCTTCCTTTGCTATCACCTAGCCTACCCATCTCTTAGTATCCCCATCGGCAGAATGGGTATATGCTTATTACCATGTGGATTTTTCCCCCTCCCTTTGCTATCACCTAGCCTGCCCATCTCTCAGTTTCCCCATTGGCAGAATGAGTATATGCTTATTAGCATGTGGATTTTTTCCCCCTCCCTTTGCTGTTACTTAGCCTGTCCATCTCTCAGTTTCCCCATCAGAAGAATGGGTATATAGTAATTTCCTCTCCCTTTGAGAGATCATTGGATGAAAGCTGCTGTGGAAAATAAAAGGCACGTCAAGGTGCTGAAGACAAATTATTATGATAGGATTGGCATTTCCACAGCAATAGCTGAGCGAAAGAGATGGAGCTGTTAAAAAGAAAACAGGGGGAGGGTCACTGCCTGTCAATCCCAATAAATAAACACTCATTTGGTGTAGTTCTTTCAAAAAAAGAAAAACAGGAAAAATCCTGGAAGCAGCCATGTATGTTTATTTTAAATGCATCCTCTAAATATTTACACTGCGAGCAACCTAAATGGAAAGAAAAGAGGGGGGGAAACTGGAACTTTTGTCAGCAAAACAGATTGTGAAATGCCTGGAGGGACTCGGAGATGTATTGGGGGGGGGGTAGGAATTTTCCATGCGATTGTAAAACATCAGCTCAAATGCTTATGATCCCCGCAGCCAGTGAATGGCAAAGCTTCAATCAGCTGGGTGGGTGTTGGTTTTTTTTTTCTCTCTTTTTCTTTCTGTTCTGCAGAGAGGCAGAGACAGAGCCGCTTCACCAACTTCTGTTGACTGTTCCTTTTTTCTCCTGATTGAAATGTGTTGTTAAACAAGATCCCACATAATCTCAGCAGAGGGTTTCTCTCTCCCCCTCTCCCGCTTCCCCCCCCTCCCTGTCCTTCTGGGAAACTGCGATCCGTGCCATCGGTGCTTGATTATTTGCAAACTCCCTTGGCTTTTTTTTTTTTTT